TTTCCAGTACGATAATGCATTTTTGCAAAGTGTATACCGAGTATATATATATATATATATAAGTACTGAGCTGAAAATTCGGGGAATCCTCCCTACAGTCCAGATGTTGCCCCTTTTGACTTAGCACTATTCCCTTTTGTGAAAAGTAGGCTAAAAAAAGGTAACTCTTCTAAGAATGATGACCTTATAAGGGTGACCTTACATGGGATGACGGGTGACTCCAGATTTCTGGGGAAACGCAGAAGAGTTACTTTGACGACTAGTTTAAAAAGTTTTATTGCATACAGTGTGGTGCAATAAAATAATTTAAAAATTAAGAAAATTAAAGGTGTATTGCAAAACTTCCTAGAACTCTTTATAGCTGCTGGACGATGACCTATCAACAAAGATTTTTATTAAAAATCTTCTAAATCAGTTAAAATGATCCTCAAAATGAGCCAAATTTGGTACACATTTATTACATGTTATCTATATTAATCAAATATAATATTTATATAAAAAATTTAGTTGTGTAGAACCTACTTTTCCATAGCTATCTTCAACATTTGTTTATCACTTAGAAAATATGAATTTAGACTATCGGATGGCGATTGAAAATATTATTGCTTTTGAAAATATGAATAAAGGACACAATTTTCGAGTAAAATGTCTCATCATGTAACTATTACTACCATGAGGAACACAGAAAAAAAAGCCATGATATGCCCATCTTCAGATGTAAATACCATGTAATATCTTTCTGTCTGTCCAAATAAGTGATCTGTTTGGATTGTTATAAATTTTTTTGAAACCTAATAATACATTTACTAAATTAACAATATAAACTAAACAAAACTGAGTTTAGAACTCGTAAAAGTGAAAGATTATTTTTTTATGATTAAAAAAGTCAGACTTTTGTTCGCTTAAAATGCTTTATATCAAAGTTGATTAAATAAGATATCACCATTGTTTCAAAGAAAATGTTGTGTTATGTTTTCCTTTCAGCATTTTGATACAAAACATTCATACACCACCCATCGTACCAGCATATTAAAAACCTTGTATATAAAATGATGAGTTCCATCCCGATTATGGCTTAATAAATAGTTCGTTCGAATTACTAGATGTTCGAATTAAAATGTGTTGAAATTAAAGAGGTTACCCTGTAAATGTCTCTAAAAAATTGGAACCAACATATTTAAGACCTCTAATGAGTTGTAGATCACAGCTCTTTTTCATATGTAGTAACAATTAGTACTAGTAAAAACCGGCTAATAGGGTTCTATAAAAACCGATTTCAGATAAAACCGGTTAACCGAATAGTGGTTAAAACCGGATATTCTAAAACCAGTTATTCGAATAACCNTAACTCATATCAAAAATTCAGCCAAGTTGACAAAATTTCGATTTAAAGGCTTAGTTAATTGGACAACCATGGATGTTCGTGATTGTTAAGGTGGAGGGTAGTGTAAGTTAGCAGGCAAAAAGGGCCAAGCATGGCCTAATTGCTGGTAAGCTTCATTATCTTTTTATCTTTTTAAGTAATCCATATGCAATATTATGGCAAAAAGAATTTTATGGGATGTGGTATATCAATAAGAAAAATAATCATTTCTACTTTATATATATGAACTTATATTGTAGTAGCTTTGGGCTCAAAATTCTGGTGCTTATATACACACAGGGTGTGCCATTTAACACTCCTGGCTGCCAATATCTCCGAAATGAAGAAATTTATTTTAGTTCCGAAAATTGGGGTTGTTAGGTATCTCGAATAGTTTCAAATTGTAGTTAGAACTGTTAGTTAAAATATTTCTGCATAGATGGCGTGGCGATACTAAAAAAGTTTTAATCCCTGGAACGTGGAAATGTGGTCCATCTGAGAGATCGTTAAATTTTAAGTAATTTTTGTAATATAAAGTTTTTTCCTAAATTTACTTGTTTTCGAGATATATCGACTTCAATACCTAGGCAATGTTTGATGTAACGGGAAAATCTATTATTTTACTTAATCACACTGATTGTGAGACAAAATATTCTTTTAAAATATTGTGATAATGGCTTTATTCTCACCACATACTAACTAACAAACAATAAATTATAAAAAAAAAACGAATGATCATCAACTACAGGAAAAAAAATTGTACAATGGTAAATCTTATATAAGGGGCAGCGACGAACCGTATTTTATCAAATGTTATTAAAAAATGTAGTCATAGGTCATGTCATTAGTTTAAAATAAAACATGTATGACAGATGACACATGCATATTAGTTTTCCAATATTATAGTTTTATTAGCTTGCGTGTATCTTTCAATTTAATATGTATTAGCTATACTAGTTATACCATTTACCATTGTACAATTTTTTTCTGTAGTTGATCATTTGTTTTTTTATAATTTATTGTTTGTTAGTATTAGTATATGGTGTGAATAAAGTCATTAACAATAATTTTGTCTCGGTGTGATTTATATTAAAATAATAGATTGTCCTATTACATCATACATTGCATATGTCGACATGTCCCGAAGGCAAGTAAATATTGGGAAAAACTTTATTTAAGTATTTGTTTTTTTTTTTAATTTATTGTACAGTAGTATGCTTATATATTAATTTTATCTATTTATTTTGTCCTGTAAATGGAATATTTTCTGTTGGGCAATAAATGCATTATTATTATAA